CTATCGACATAGGTGTAAGATATGTAGATAAGACTTCTAAAGTAGCCGTAAAGTTAACTTAGGTTACCTAAGTTCGTAACTTTAGCATCATTAATAAGTAAAATAAATCTTACTTATTAACGATGCTAAAGCGGTATATTATTGTTGTCCCTGGGAAATTCCTTTCGGTTTTTTTTAATCCAAATGAAAAACATATCCCGGCCCTTGGTTAAATTAATTGTCTGCCAAACAATTTTTAAGGTACATTCATTAGTTATTTGTTATTCATTATAACTTATCGAAGTCCACTACTTTTTCTAAAGTCACATTAAAATGAGAACCAGCAGCAGTTTACGTTATGGTAAGTGGCTACTGCAGTCCATTGACACCTGCATCCAGCTAGTAACAAAGAAGATTACAGGTTTGTAGTGTTATGTACCATTTTACTCATACACTACACCTATAATTACAGTGGCTCTTAAAATTTGAAGTTATACCAATATACAATAAAAAAGGAACCTTGTAAACTACAAAAATAATCAACCACAGTTTAAATAACTTTTTATTATATATTTTTCATAAACATTTACATTTGGAAGTTCAAATTAATATCACATCTGGAATAAATAACTAAAAATTACAAAATAATAAACAAAATCTTATAAAAATAATATGTACAAATTGGACTAAAACTACACAAATTTATTATAATGTCAAAATGTGTCACAGATCAAAAATAAAACAAATTAACTGGAAATATAATTACGATTATATTTTTGATCTGTGACGATTCAAACGAGAAAGTTAAATGTTTTCCTCTCGTTTTTAGATTATTTTCTTATAGGAACTAAATCGATTACGCACATACAAATAAAAATTATTAAATAGGTATGACGAAATTTTTGTCAAATTAAGAGAATATTTACTGCCAAGAAGTGATTCTTATATAATCAAGCCACAAACAGTTTTATACGTTATATTTTTAATAATTGTAGAAGAATGTAAAAGTTATATCTAAATGCTTACTTATTATTATCGGAGGAGTACTTATGCGTATCTAAGTGATAACTGGTTTATCAAGATAATAGTTTTATTCATCAAAAAGATTTGAAATTCGAATTGGTAGTATAGATTTGATAATAAATAATATAAAAATACACATATTGCAAAATTCTTAATAAAAATTATAAGGCTTAAGATTTTTATCTGTGTCTTATAAAAATAAATGACAATGACTACGATACCAGTCTATACTTAAAATAATATATTACATCCAATAATGATATCAAAAGTTTGCATCTAATATATTATTTGTTTAAATTTAACTAATTAATTTAATTTAATCTTTACTGTTTACATCATTTTATAATAAAATAATTACAATGGGCGGAGTTAATGTCTTTTTGTATTCACTCCTAGTAAAACCCTGTAAAGACACATAAATAGTGACATACCAAATTAAACCGAACTAATGTCTAATGTGTCAATCGTGAATGATTCGTTAATCAGACCCTGGTCGCATCAAACAAAGTATTGATGATTACATTGTTTTAATGTTCCGGATCAAACTATTTACAGGACCTACGACCAAAGAGTAGTAATGTCCGACGATCGACATGACGAGCGGGTCTCACAGATCACAGTGTACTGAAACTCGAAATGATCAATGTGAACGATAGACTCGAATGACCCGGTTTGTAAGACGAAACAATACTTGAATGACCGGGTCAATAGAAAACGAATAAATGACACACGTCTAAACCGAACATCATAATAAACCAGCAATAATTATAGATACGTGAGTCGTAGAAGACATTGTATATAGTAAAACTTTTAAAAATTATTTTTGCGCAATATATTAAATTTATGAAAATACTGTTTTTATACTTTGGAATAGGAATATTAGTCGATAGCGAGATTCTTTGAGTTTGTTTCATTCATTGCAATTCTGCAATGCCATTGTGTTAGTCTGGTGAGAATCACTCTGAAACAGTGATACGGTGATTTTATTATTGATAATATTTAGTAACCTAACCTAACATATCTTATATTTTTAGGTTACTAAATATTGTCATATATCATAAAAAGACATTGGCTTGTTATCAATACTGATACATTTACACAATTCAATGAAACCAACCGTCAAAATATGCTAACCACTAAAGCTACCATCATTACACAATCGCACTGATCTTACTTATTTAAAATACAATATTTTTATTGTTTTCAGGATTATCAATTTTGCATTAATATTAAGTTAATACCTCAATGGGCGTTGAAACCTATGCAGCAAAATAAAAGAAAAGATCTTTCAGTACACAATGTTTTAAATCTTTTTCTTCCGAAATAGTCCACTACTAGAAAAATGGTCCTTTCGTTTTAGGGAAAATGCGGTATAGAATATATAATAGCAAATAACATTTTCTTGACAGAAATATTTTATATTGGCACTTAATTACTACATAGCTAGTTGCTGCTTGACATGCATTTGAGCAATATTAATAATTAAACTATAATGTTTTTGTCGATAGCAATTAAAGGCTTATAAAAAAATTTATAGTCAGAAATAATGATTAATAGCAACAAAAAAACAGAGGCAGCCATAAGGACTGCCGAGAGAAATGAAAACTCAATGACTATACATATACACAGTCCGCTATACTACGCGTCGCTAGTCTGGCGCAAGCCGAGCATGTCGAGGTCATTGCTGAGTGCTGACGCGAACCCATAAGTTTTTCCCCTACCAAAAATCGCTCAACGCGGCTAAAGAAGTTATCACTTAAAAAAAATTAAGACTAAACTACGTTTCTTTATACTCAACTAAATCTAAGAAATACCTATTGACGTTTCACATTAGTCATTCCGCAATAACTTTGTACAAGCGTACTCACACGATTAAAAATACACTTTTACGTAAATCTAAAAAGAATTATGCATTTATCTATATTTCATTATAACATGTATCTTTATCGCTAATTTAAATTCGAAATCTTTCAAACAAAATCAAAATATTTAAATAAAATACCAGGATCAATTTTTATGCTTGACGTTGTTTCAACTCTCTCGTCAGCTCAACTAGTTGTAGTGAAAGTTAAAAAAAGTTAGTTACAGCCTATATACGTCCCACTGCTGGGCACAGGCCTCCCCTTATTTCTGAGAGGGTTTTAGGGCAAGGAAATGTCCGCCACGCTGCCCCATTGCGTGTTGGCGAACCTCATATGTCTTCGAATTTATTTTTCTTATTTCTCAGACATGCAGGTTTCCTCACGATGTCTTCCTTCACCGCCGAGCAAGTGGTAAATCAGCACTTAAAATTGTAATTAACAATTTAATTGGTGCCGGCGGGGATCTAACCCGGGTTGCTCGAGTACTGTGAAATTTACAGCGAGCGCTAACCATCTAAGCTACCATGGCTCTCTTTTATTTATTAATATAATATCTTTACAGGTCGTCGCATTATATAATCCTAATAATTCATGATTTATTTTTCACATCATTAACGGATCTTTATTTAAGTGGGATGCAGGAAGTAAAGACTGCGTAAGAACTGCTGAGTAGTTATAGCCGAAATATAAATTTTAATTTTTTTGGTTTTAGCCATTTTGACCCCGTAGGAGTGTAATGAGAACTTTTTGCCGCTATTCAACCATAACCCCCATGACATCCTCTAAATCTAGATGATAGGCTATTCAAACTGACTATGCCTAAAGTAGTGAAAGTGATGAAATAAATTTGTTTTTAATCTAGTGCAGTCTTTAATTTATATAACTAAGTCTAGAAATTAGCAATAAGCAATAAATATGAAGAAAAAAAACTGATAAATGTTGTGTTTTGAGTTATAATTTATTGTGGTAATAATCTAGATAAAACTGTAAATGATTATCAACTCTAAAGAATCGATATCTCTTAAGGATCGAATATTGTAGATACAGATTTTTCAGTTGGAATGCCTAGTCCAATAAATGTGAGAGTTGTCAAAAGGTATTTTTTACATTTGGCGGAGTATAGCCAGCTTATATTTTTTCAGAAATATATCGTTAAGGATTGACTTAAAGCTTATTTTCATACTTATAGTTTATAATGCCTAAGGAAATGTAGTTAAATTTACAATTCTAACGATGAAATAACAACTTTAGAAGAAAATCGTTTGTATTAATATCGAAGTTAGTAAAATTTTGACTTAAAAGGTAAGAACACTATGGAAGTCCAATATTTATTTTTAAATTCAAATCTCATGTCATCAATGTCACATATTTGCATTTTGCATCAATACTGATAATGCAATAAAATGTAGTTACCTTTTTAGAGTATTAAATAGAAAATTTGTCATATTTTAAAACTGCTAAAATTTTCGCACATGACAAGACATTTAATTACAACATCAATTAATATATTGGATTACATTTAAAATATTTTTATGTATTTTTTTTTGCTTTTCCTCTAGCAATTTAGTAGTAATGTAAGCATATTAAATTCTGATTCAAGATTTTGTCATATTCGTTACACAATTGATTTGCGCGGATAAAAGGTGTGTTTGTGTTTATCATACCGCGCGAAGAAGTTGTATTGCGATTATGTTCATTAGAATAATTTCAGTTGTCCCATATTAAAGCTCCATTAAAGTGTTTTTATACTAAATTTTACTTAGATAGTAATTCTTAAAAGATGAAAACACCTGTTAAATATCCATAAAAATAACCAGATATTTTATTATTATAATAAATCATTTATTATATGCATAATTGAAACTTCAAGAACTCGTTCAATTTATTTTGTTGTTACCCTGTATTACACAGAATATAGAATACTATGTACGAAGTAGATTCATTCTTTTGGAAGCTTTAGAGTCCAAAAGATTACATAATCGATTCATACCCGAATTTATGTAATTATATTTCTATATTACTTTTCGAAGCGTCGAATATGGAAATGAACATTGCGAAACCGGGTTTGTGTGTAGTGTTCGAGGTGTGGTTAGTCCTTTCGAATTCGAAAGTTGTGCGGTTGATTTGGAAACCGAGTCAGACGGTGCGAAAGCTGTTGCACCTGCGCTCCAGCGAGTCCTCGTCGGTGAGGTGGGAGGGGTGCGAGGGGCTGGTGGGGGGGCGGGACCGGCGCCGCGCCACCACCAGCACGCCCCCCACCGCCACCAGCACCGCGGGCACGCACAGCCCCAGCGATATGATCAGCACCGCCAACAGCGACAAGCTCTCCGAAGGCGGCCATCCGTACCCCAACGTGTACGACCTGCGAATAGCCCAAACCGTCTCCGTTCACCTTATACTATTTAATATTAATACACTTAGGAAGTGACAAGGACAGTCCATCAATCACGAACGCACAAAATTTAAGGCGAAGTTGAACAAAACTTCAACATAGACATGATTCTGATGCACGAGAATTGATACTTCTGGAAATAATAGGTCATTTACCAGGGAGCAAATACATAGAGGAGACGGCCAACTGTGCACTGTGATTCTAACTAGATCCTGACGTCATCACAGTGGGCGTGGCTTTAATATACTGTCAGCGTTCTTCCTGTGCGCTTATGTGTCGAAAATCGCAAATCGGTGTATTTTCGTAGTATTAAGAAGAAAAGGATGAAGTGTTGTATTTTATCGTGTAAAAACTACTCAGACACACTGATGCTATGGATGGCATCATATTTAATTTGTAAGTAATTTTATACTTAACTTACTAAGATAGTTCTAAAAAAACCTCTGCGTCGGCTTTCAAATATAATTAAATATATTCGACACTAGATGGCGACACTTTGTGTCATGGGAACTAAAAATAAAATATAAAGGTACGTAGATATTGGTAGTATTGGTAAAATAATCATACGAAGATGCTGAAATTTGTTTTGCATTCAGTCTAAAGAATTTTTAATCGCCCACCATCTGTTGTCAAGTTAGCCAAACTACATTGCTACATCGATATGGTACGATGCGAGTAGTTTTACTATTTATCGGTAGATGGAAAACAGTTAAGTGGGCGGGGCTTAATACCCCCTCACCCCGCAAATTGTCCCTGCGTTATTACATAGTGAAATCTAACTACAACACCTCCTCTGTGTATTTGCTCCGTGGTCTTTACCTACGAAATTGCTGTTCTGCAGTTCAAGTCAAAATAAGTTTTGTTTGGCTAAGAATTCCATTTCAAATTAATTATATTTTGAAAAAATGAAAGTCTTTTTTCAAAATTAGTCATTTGTTTATTGATTAGCGTTGTGTTTTCATCGAACCTGAATCTTTTTTGTCATCATAGATACGTTGAAAATACCAGTAATTATAGAATATGAGCACGCTCGTCGCAGCAACGCGGCATAAGCGGCACACAACGTCAACGACGTGTACAGAGCAAATAGTACAAACGAGCGCACCACGTGTTATTGGTTTGCCCACTTCGGTTCTGGAAATTGCAACCTGAAAAGTGAACCTAGTGGTCGTCCGAAAACTTTGGTCGACAATGACGAATTAAAGGCGATTGTGGAAGTTGATGATACTCAATTTACGCCTGAATTAGCAGCAGCTTTCGACATTAGCATCAAAACCATATTGGTCCATTTTATTCAAATTGGCAAGGTAAAAAAGCTTGACAAATGGGTGCCCCACGAACTCACACTCGACAATGATCGCCAGCGCGAATTACGCTTCGATACGTGCCTTGCACTGCTCAACAGGCACACAAACAAAGGAATTTTGAACCGCATTCTTACCATGACAAAAAATAGATTGTGTTTGAAAACCGCAAGTGCTCAGCAAGTTGGTTGGATCTTAGTTCAGCACCTGAACAATGCCCTAAACGAAAACTTACCCCTAGAAAAGTGATGGTCACTGTTTGGTGGTCCACAGATTCTTACCGAAAGGGATAAACATTACTTCAGATGTGAACTGTGAAGAACTGAACACAGTGATAAAGAAACTCCCTCGTCTCCAACCAGCTTTGATCAATCGCTCGTCCTTGCTGCTCCTGCACTCCAACGCGCGACCTCATACTGTACAAGAGTTGGGGTTGGAAGCTCACCGTCATCCGCCGTACTCACCAGAACTTGCGTCTACAGACTTCTACTTTTTCCAGAATTTGGATAACTTTTTGGCGGGAAAAAAGTCATGAGGCAGTACAAAATGCCTTTGAAGAATTTGTTGCTTCCCGTCCAGCTGATATCTTCAAGAAGTTCGTCAATAAACTGCCACTGCGTTGGCAAAGATGCATCGATTGCATGGGTGATTAATTTGATTAATAAAAATAAAAAATAATTTACGTGAACTTATTTCATAAAAAACGGCAATTTCATAGGTTAACACCTTTTCCTTTACAATTTCATAGGTAAACACCTGCTCGGAAGAAAATATGCGCATACATAAAATCATATATACCCTTCAGATACCCGGCAGAAATAACTTGTAGATTTATAAATGAGTTAATGAAGACGAGAAACTAAAAAACAATGTTACCAGGCCGTGTAGTTGTGTTGCTTGTAGAACCCGTCACCCGGCTCTCCGAAAGACACGACTAGGTCCTGCACCAGAAGATTCTTTTCATCGTAACCTTCGTAGAATGTTTCCAGCGTGCTAGACTGCGGCAGCGTACCCCTGCGGACAAACATACTATTGGGTCAATGGATCAAAACCAAACATTGTTAGAACTATGAAAAATTTTATTATTTATCTGATACAGGATAAACGTGATTTACTTACGATCATTTATTTCACAATGGCGGACAAATAGCAAACTTAACAACGCTGAGAGCTGCCGTACTACACAATGGTATAATAACCCCTAGTCTGGTGGCGGCCATTTTGCGAGAACGTCACGTCTGCTAGGGCCTTAGGAGGTAATACACGCGATATCGGCGCGTGGCGATTAAATTAGTAATTTCTCGAAAATATTGTATGGAAGCAATGTATAAAACTTATGTCATTTGAATTGTTATATTATTAACTATTACTCCGTAGTTATCTAAGTTGAATACAACCTAAGAGATTTTATTATTCTAATTTCAAAGTTAGGCAACCGAATTTTTAATAGTATTCTGTACATAATTCGTGAAAATTAAACAAGAAAATCATTAATTAATAAAATAAATGTACCTTATTTACATCAATATACACTACTTTATAATAAAAAAGCAAAAAAAACACACATTCCTATACATTTTTTTACACCATAAGCTTTTCAAAGTCTTGACACATTAACGGCGACGTTCACATACGACTGCGACACATGCTGTTTATTCGAAATGTCTAAACATTGAAGTACTTTAGTAGCTTTGTATCGGGTCGTCGTTCATTGGTTTATAATTTTCTATAAGTGAAAAAGGGATAGCAATCATTGTCGACGTTAATATTACCTGTCAAATACTCAGCCATGGATCGGCCAGTATCTGGTCGCTTAGCAGACGCGCATGATAATTCATCAACCAGATTCTGGCATCTCGTCAGACTAGGGGATAACGTACCTAGTTATACATAGGTTTTGGCTCACAATCTTCGCGATTATTTCATCACCACAACATATAGCCGTATCGTAAAATTATGGCCTAGGATTGCAATTTAATGTCAGTTTGAATACCTACTACCCATATCGAAGCGTCGGCGGTGTCGTAAGACGCAATAGAGGAAAACCGAAACAGGATATGGGCAGCAGCATCAATGCCGAAAATCCATTCTATGAGGCAATCTATGTATACTGTGAGAGCGTGGTCCTACCCTGGTCGAGCCGACCCATTCGTGATACAACCATATTATAGCTGCAGCTCTACCACGTATCAAAAGGTTTAGAATAGTAAAAAAAGAAAACTATAATATAGTAGCAGTATTAGCCGTTGCACTATAGACTGACCTGGTAAAATTGGAGACGTGTGCCAGAGTGGAGCTGCCGACGTTGCGCTTGCTCTCCACGTACGCCACGGGACGGAACTGCAAGAAGCCCCCGGCACCGCTGATCCACAACGACGGGCTCTTGATCTCGATTATCTATAAATTGTCACGTACATTGAAGCAACATGTAATAATGTCCTTTCCATTGACGTCCGTCGAGTTTGGTGTTGATACGTATTTTTACAGAAAAGTTACACTATTATAAGCACACACACAAAGTTTCAACATGCGGAAACGCGTAATTTTTGAGAAAAAAATTATTGAAAATCAATTATTCTTGCAATGTTTATGTCTAATCCTATCGTAAAACTGACGCCATTTTGTAATGTCATTATCGACGTCAATAGGGATGTCGATTATTTCCGAAAAAGGTCGATTTTTAAATCGATTCAAATCGTAAGCTGATGTATCGCTTCACAAAAAATCGATTTCTAAAATATCTATATTTTTTTAATGTTTGCATTTATAATGTAAATATAAACCCATTTTATGAAAAACAAGAAAGATACCACGATAAAAGATCTCTTATTGAAATTTGTTTTATTTTAACAGTACCTATTAGGGCAGATAACAAATAAAATAGGTTAGGTTCAACTTATGTCAAAGAACCGAATTGATTGACCCCGACTCCACCTGGTACGAGTCTGTCCTACCCCTAGAGTGGTTTTATAGCGCCGAATACGTAGCAGTCTCAAAATAGATACAGAAATCCTTCTGAATCAGTCCCCTTATTTTTTTATGATGAAGGGAATTTTTTCTCATAAAATGGATTTATATTTACATTATAAATGCAAACATGAAAAACATATAGATATTTTAGAAATCGATTTTTTGGGAATCGATACATCAGCTTACAATTCGAATCTATTTAAAAAATCGATCTTTTTCGGAAAGAATCAACATCCCTACTGACAATAATAATAAAAAATGGCGTCAGTTTCACCGTAGAAATTCACATAAATATTGCAAAAATATTTGATTTTCAATATCTTTTTCTCAAAAAGTACGTGTTTCCGCATATTGAAATTTTGTGTGTGTGCTTATAAAAATGTAATCTTTCTGTAAAAATACGTATCAACACCATACTCGACGGACGTCAATGGAAAGTCGTACCTACTGCTCGAGTGTATGAGCAAGCACAGGTGCACTCTATTCCCTCACTCTCATAGTTCGATGGGACGGTAATACGGCACGACCGGACAGAAATCTGACGCAGGAGCAACCGCTTTACGTGCTTTCCGAGGTACGGGGGTGAGACACCGCCAACTTCCTGACTCCGGTCAGCTACTGAGAATTTCTTCACAGAAAAACCCAATAACTGTTAAAATTTGAACCGGGGACCTTATGATCTGTACTACCACTATATCAATGAGCCATATGATGAGAAGTATCGACTGTTACACGAACCATACAAAGCAAATTCTTCCTTACAATATTTGAGTTATTACGTAAAGCTAAGAACAAAAAGGACACTACCTTCTTGAGAGCTTACCTCGAACACGCCAGGTGTGTGTTCATCGTCCAAGCTCTTCCTCGTGATGCTACGCATGGACAGGTTATTCGGGTCCTTGGAGACGAGGACAAAATGTACTGCGAAGCGCGACGAGTTGAAATGGCGCGAAGTGGTAAGATTCACCAGGCTGATGTCGACTAGGGTGGTGTTCGCGTTGTGGATGAGATGGGGCAGGGTCCTCGCGTAATCCGTGAAGTTAACGTAGTCCAGCTGCAGAATAGAGGATGAAAGGGCGTTCAATAACAGTTTATGGCATGTTTACTTTAAAATAAATTACAATACTCGGTAGAAATTTAAATAAAAATAACTAACGGGCTATGATTTAAGAAAGAGCAAAGAGATTTTTTTATAGAATGGATGTGATAAATGAGCACACAGTCCTTCTGACGACAAGTGGATGCCGTGGCCCATAGACATCTACATTTATTCTCGATTAAGAACCAAAATGCAGATGCGTTATCGCGTCCCTGAGGCATAAGGTGGAATGCCTCGTTTCCAGTAAAAAGGGTCTCCGGTTCTCTACATTCACCATATGAAACAGCAGCGTTAAACTTCTATTTGTACCCATTCGTACTACAACCAGACCATAGCTGCAGAATGGCAACAGTCTATGTTCTTGTTAGGCTGCGGCGTGGCTTTACCACGTAAAAAAATGTAAACATTTTTTTTTCATTAATTGCAGTTTATCGCAGTCTACTGTTAAACATAGACCTCCACATAGATTGCCTAACAAGGGGGATACATATTGTAAGAAATAGATACATTAATGTAAGAAATCTCACTGACGCACACATACGCCTAAGCCATGTTGTTGGTTGCAAATTGTTTACGTGTTCTTACAATAAGTTGTACAATAAGTACGGTAATGTAGTTTTATTTTTAATAGGATAGGGTGACAAGCGAGCACACAGTCCACCTGATGGTAAGTGGTTGCTGTGACACATAGACATCTACATTTATCCTCAGTAAAGAATCAAAATGCAGATGCGTCGTCAACCGTGATGACTAAGATGGAATGCCTCTTTTCCAGTAAAATGGGTCTCCGGCTCTCTACACTCACCATACGAAACACACCAGTGTCAAGCTGCCATTTTACGCTGGTATTCTGTGAGAACGTGGTCCTTCCCCGGTCGAGCCGACCCATTCGTGTTACAACTATCCTACTAACTATATAGTTGCAACAGGGCTCTACCACGAATAATGTTCTAAATATCTCTTTTTGTTGGTTTGAGATACATCAGGTCAGGTCATAATCTTACTAATATTATAAATGTGAAAGTTTGTGAGGACGTGTGGATGTTTTTACTCTTTCACACGCACAAAACTTTACAATAATATAGCTCTTACATCAGAATAGCTATACTTCATAAAAATATTGTGTAAATTGACCAAAATATAACCATAAATGTTAAGTAAATCTGAAAAAAAGCCGTCATCTGCGAGCTATTTTGGCGTGACCACACTCTGAACCGATTTGGATGGAACTTTCACTGGCTGATAGCTGATGTTATAAGGAGTAACTTAGACTACTTTTCATTTAGGGTTCCGCGCAATAAAGTTCCACGCGGGCAAAGTCGCGGGGAACAGCTAGTACTGCTGCATGTATGAAAGAACATCACTGGAGAACGACTAGACTGATTTTGATTAAAAAAACTGTGTTTGAGTGGGTCTCTGTTAGATTCACAATTGGACCCGGTAGGTGGCGCCGTTGTCGAGATCCAGAAATCACCCGTGCAAAGCCGGGGCGCTAGTAGATTATATTACCCGAGCAATTGTTTGAGATATACACTTGATAATCCGATGACTAATTTAGCGGACATGTTCGTATACGTAAATTATTAATCTCAATTTAAGTGCTAGTTTACCACATGCTCGTTGATGAAGGAAAACATCGCGAGAAAACCTGCACTTTATAGGATAGTATACAATAGGATAGTTTTCACTTTATAGGATAGTGACAAACGAGCACACAGTCCATCTGATGGTAAGTGGTTGCTGTGACCCTTAGTCATCTACATCTTTCCTCAATAAAGAATCAAAATGCAGATATATTGTCACCCATGAGAACTAAGAAGGAATGCCTCTTTTCCAGTAAAAAAGGTCTCCGGTTCTCTACACTCACCATACGAAACACAGCAGTGTTAAGCTGCTATTTTTATTTTTTTAGTTGCAAGCTGGTATTCTGTGAGAACATGGTCCTTCCCCTATCGAGCCGACCCATTCGTGCTACAACTACACTACCAATATAGCTGCAGCATGGCTCTACCTCGTATAAAATCTGTCTGAGAAATAAAAATAAAAAAAAAATACATAAGACAGTGAAGTCCGTCTACACGCATTGGGGCAGCGCGGTGGACAACTCCTTGCCCTAAATCCTGAAATGAGATAAGGCATGTGCCTAGGAATACTCGTAAAAAGGGTGTAACTGCCGCGACATTTTTACTTTACTAACAAGATGAAACCCGATAATTTAGCAGATACGGGCGAACTTATAGTAGCATACTCATAATGCGTTTTCTCAAAAGATTAAAAAATAAAAAGGTCAAATTCATTTATAAAAGTGCATCAATGTTTATCTCCGCACCTCACTGCGGTATCTATCGCTCACACAAGTAATCAGTTTGCTCCGGTGCACTTTCATATTACACGTTGGTAATCTCTGTTCTTAATGCTTGTAAATTAATAATTATGTCGCTTCTCAATGTTTTGCCGATAGCAAACATGACTAACTACTTCTTATCATTTTTATTTATTTTTATTGTACTCAAGGCAATGACATAAAGTATTTTACAGTAACATTTAGCAAAGACTGAAAAACGTGCCTTCTAAACTATTTAAATCGACATCATAAGTCCACAAAAATAGAATAGTCAGACCTTGATCAAATTTATATGGGACCCCATGAGAAGCACCAGCTTACAAATAAAAAAAGAATAATCGAAATAGGCTTACCCAGAAAAAAGTTATGAGGTAACACATATTAAAAAAAAAACTTCTTCTTCTTCGGCGGGGTAGCCAGAGAGAACAGATCGCCAAGTGTCACGATCCTTACATACCTCTTTCGCTTCTTTCAGATTCATTATCTTCTTCATACATGCACGTCTAGGTATCCGAGTACTCTTGACACTACCCTCTTCGAGCAATTTGCTCACATGGTCTTCGAAAGTTAGTCTCGGTCTACCTCGACACCTTTCAATATTAACTTTCGCGCTATATATTTTCTTCACCATTCGGTCTTCACTCATTCGCTCAACGTGCCCAATCCACCGAAGCACGCCCTTATCAATTTTTGTGATAAGGTCATCTTCGATCCGCTTTCGGTCGGCCATGGTAACGCCGCACATTTTACGAAGAGATCGCATCTCCACTGCATTCAACTTGCTTTTATGCTTCTTCTGGCATACCTAGGTTTCGCTGCCATATAACAAAGTCGGTACCAACACTGCGTTATGTATTGCAAGGCGTACACTACATTAAAAAAAAAAAAAAAACAAAACAAAAAAAAACATACAGTCGAATTGAGTACCTCCTCCTGTTTGAAGTCGGTGGAAAAGTACAGTCGTTTGGAACGCTCAAATGCGGGCATGGCTTGATAAGGATCCAAATATACTGATTTTGGTTTTCGAACCAAAATTGAAATAGAAACCCAACTTTAATCTTCTTTTTAAAATTTCCTGATTTTACATTAAAGTAAGTTGCACAATTAATGTTAAAAACATTTTAAAAACATAAGCAGCAACAACATTCTTCTTCAAAACTAGGCCTCTGTAAAACTAGGACTTGGTATCTCCTTTGTGGTGATGAATACACTTACGCCATCACCACACGGTAAAACAATGTTTTCATCATCATCATTATTACAGCTCTTCACAACTCCACTGCTGAACATAGGCCTCCCCCAAGCAATACCGCAAAGCCACCTGCATACATCGACTTCCTGCATGTTTTACCAGGTCGTCAAAACCATCTAGTGAGGAGCCACCCCACACTCTACCTACTGGTTTTCTTCTTATCTTTTCCTTTCTTCTTTATTGGTTGTCGGTTCTTCGAGCTATATGGCCGGCCTAACGTAACTTCAGCTTACTTATCCGTTGGGCTATGTCGGTTACTCTGGTTCTACTGCGGATATCCTCATTTCCAAGTTTATCACGCAGAGAAACCCCGAGCATATCCCTCTCCATAGCTCGCTGAGCGACCTTGAGCTTCCTCATACGGCCAGCAGTGAAGGACCACGTCTCAGATCCGTAAGTCATCACTGGCAACACGCACTGGTTGTACGATTTCGTTTTCAGGTTTTGAGGTATGTCTAACGAGAAGATGTGTCGTAATTTCCCGAACGCTGCCCAGCCGAGTTGAATCCGGCAATTGATCTCTCGGTCGAAGTTGGACTTAGCTAGTCGGACTATTTGTGACGTTATACATGATCTTTGATTTGCCCATGTTCATCTTGAAACCTTTCCATTGGGAGACACTATTGAGGTCATTGAGCATAGTGTTTAGGTCCTCCAGCGATTCTGCCATAAGGACTATATCGTCGACAAATCGAATATGAGTGATGAACTCGCCATTATTTTAATACCGTATCCTTTCCAGTGCAGTACCTTGAAAACATCTTCCAATGCAGCGGTGAAGAGTTTCAGGGATATTACGTCAGCCCTATTGTACAAACACTTCAAGCACTTTCGATATACCGACAGTGAACTTGGCATTGCTGAAGGGACAGCAGCACCCCTTAAATTTCGACGGAATCAAAGGTTTTCTCATAGTCCACATAAGTGAGACAAAGTGGCAGATGTACTCTTCGGTCTTCTGTACAATTTGCCGGTCTATGGTGCTATTTTCGGAAACCGGCTTGTTTAGGAGGCTGGAAGTCGTCTTAATCTCATGTCTGTTAGACGGGAAATGAAGGTGCAGTCTTCAGCAGATTGACAGCATACAGGCAACTCCAAATAAATGCGGCGGGACTTACGTAACTTCAATACCGCTCTATTGAAGAAGCGATCGAGCGGCGCCAGGGCTCCAAAATCTTTGCCAGAGATCTGTCTGCCAGAAAGAGCCAACTGTTGAAGCTGAGGACCGAATGTGGCAGCATCGTTTTCGGGACACCTGAGATTTTGAGTGAGATTGAGAGGTTCTATGGGCAGCTGTACACGTCATCGTTGTAGCCACACGCTAGTGTGAGTAACCATCCAAAAGCAAATCTTATCTCGGATGTCAGTCTAACCGATGTTAGAATGGCTTCCCAGCATCTTAAAAACGGCAAGGCCTCGAGCGAGGATGGCATTACAGCGGAGCTTCTAAAAGCGGGTAGAAAACCGGTACTTGAAGTCCTTCAGAAGCTCCTTAATTAAATCCTCTGGAGGCGTGGAGCAGAAGTGCGGTGGCGTTGGTCTTCAAGAAAGGCGACAACATTTTCCTGAAGAATTACAGACCGATTTCCCTTCCGAGCCACGTCTACGTGCTGTTTCCGAAAGTTATTACGAATCGTCTCGCATGTAGACTCGACGACTTCCAGCCTCCATAATGTTTTCATTAATACTCTATTAATCCTATACTTTTATATAAACAATATTTAATCGTAATCCCCCTCTCGAAAACGGCTCAGCAATGATTTCCTTGAAATTTACGGGGAAGAAAAATCCAGTGAGCTGATCGTCATTTATAAGAACATATTTAGATTTCATGTACAAAGCTAATAACTTGCCCGCGCCATATTGTTAATTTCGCTATAGAGATCGTCTTCTCAATAGACCAATGGTTAGGGCGTATGCGTAGATACACGTGGTAGAGCCACGTTGCAGCTATAATATGGCTGTAGCACGAATGAGTCGGCTCGACCGGGGTAGGACCACGCTCTCACAGAATACCAGCGTAATATAGTAACTTATGCTGTTGTGTTTCGTATGGTGAGTGTTGAGAACTGGATACTTTTTTTACTGGATACGAGGCATTCCATCTTAGGGGTGACCACGCGCATCTCCATTTTGATTCTTAATTGAGGACAATTATGGATTTCTTTATTCCATAAAAATCTACCACGGCGGAGGGCTATATACGTAATTGGTTTCGAAACGGCACTAAAATTTTAATTTTGTATATAGACATTGTATTACTTTCCCAGTTTTTCTAATTACGTGAAAAGAATAACTTTTTAACAATGAGTAAAAACCGGTCGCGCAGGTACTGCTTTAATATAAAATTTGTGTGATAGATAGAATCGTACAAAAACTTAATTCGTACGGAAATATTCTCACGGAATGCCAGCATAAATTAGCAGTTCGGTTTCGTATGGTGAGCGCTGAGAACCTAAGACCCGTTTCTAATGGATCCGAGACATTCCATCTTAATTCTCAAAGGTTCTTCTTCATTTTGACTTGTAATCGAGGATAAATGTACATGTCTATGGACCACAGTATCCACTTACCATATCAGGTGGACTGTGTTCTCGTTTATTACCCTTATTATATAAAGAATATAGAATTCATGGCCCATAGTTTTTCAAAATTCCTGACCTTCATATCGATAGTGCCTCTTCTCTCCTTATCGTGCAGAGTTCCACGCAGCCTCACCATGACCTTTTTACTGGTGAGCACACTCTCTTTTAACTCCCACGACACATTCTTCAGCGCCTGCATACGATACGGATGGTTCACGTCGAATCGCCCGGTGTCTTCCAAGTCGTTGTATTCGTAAATCTGTAAAATTGTTTCTCCTTAACACCATAGTCTACAGGTAATAATGGGCCTCACTCAATGCAAGGAGAATTTGCCTTTATTGTCAGGTGTAACTATTGCAGTACCACATATTTCCTTTGAGGTTATATGGGACAAAATAAGAAGGCAATCCAACACGGTCAGAGAGAAATCAGGACTCAAAAAGCAAATGAAGCCGTTGCTTTTGCAACTGCTTTACATACTTTCCGGGGCACGGCATAAAACACCGCCAACTTCCCGACTCCGGGCTGCAACTGAGAATTTGTTGATAGCAAAACTAAATAACTGGTTTTTTTTGGCCTGATTCGGGATTCAAAGTCTACCCAGATATACTACTAGGCATAGGCAATCCTATGTAGAGCCTACTAACTAAATAACAAAGGCGACTCTCCTAACATGCTTGGAGTAGTAAAATCTATTATAACATTACTTTATTAAATGTATCGTAAAATTTGTCTATTTAAATATAACAAATTATGGCATACAGTATATTTTTAGAAGTATGGAGAATCTAATAATTATACAACACGTTTTTAAGGTTATGTGGTATATTATTAATCTGTAGCATTTAAAATTAAAAGTTGTTCTTAGTTCAATGATTAACAAAAGTTTATATGGTTGCCATTGTCTAGAATTTAATTTCAATTTTAGAAACAAAATCGATTTAGACTTTAGAAAAAGTATGGACAAAATATAGTGATAATATGTGAGGTGAGGTAAGGATAAAATGCTTGTTTGCCCTTCTTCTATTAAAAAAAAGCCAAACTACTTTTAAACATTAGTCAGAAACCTACACAGGCGGGCAAGTACAACAACTCACTAAATGACGTCATAATTGTATAAATGCTATAGAAAGCACTACAGATGGGACAAAGAAATATTCATTTTCTGCAGACTTCCAAAAAGGAGACAGTACTCAATTCGACTGTATGCTTGTTTTTGTTTTTTTTATGTGTGTTAAATTATAACTTTTTACTGGGTGAACCGATTTCGATGATTCTTTTTTTATATGAAAGCTGATACTTCTCGTGTGGTCCCATATGAATTTGATCAAGATCAGACCAATAGTTTTTGAGTTATTCTTAATAACTTATATTGAAGTCGACTGTACAAACTTTTTAATTTTTAATTACTAATTATAATACATAATGCCAGATACCTTTATATTCCAAAATATCTATTTGTATCCACTCTTTTTTTTATAGGATACCACTCTTTGTTTACCATAACATAAAAAACAAGCATTAAAACAAATTGTGAGACAACTCTAGCAACAGTGCGAACATAAAGCTTGAGGGACCCAAACAAATGATAAAACACATTGCAAAATTTTAGTTTTTTTTTTCATTATAGCATTAGGGTGACAAACGAACACACAGTCCACCTGATGGTAAGTGGTTGCTGTGGCCCATAGACATCTATCTGCATCTATCTTCATTTGCGAATTAAAATGCAGATACGTTGTCAGCCGTGAGGACTAAGATAGAATGCCTCTTTTACAGTAAAAAGGGTCTCCGGTTCTCTACATTCACCATACGAAACACAGCAGCATTAAGCTGCTATTTTACGCTGGTATTTTGTGAGAGTGTGGTCCTTCCCCGGTCGAGCCGACCCATTCGTACTACAACTATACTATTAATATAGCTGCAGCATGTCTCTACCACGTAAAGGCAAACGCAAGCACCAACAAAACATGACGGACTTATTTTTTTTTATAGGAAGGGGCAAACGAGCATGCGGCTCACCTGATGGTAAGTGACTACCGCCGCCCATGAACAACTGCAACGTGTTGCAGGCGATGCGTTGCCGGTCTTTTAAAAAGGAGTAGGCTCTTTTCTTGAAGGTCCCTAAGTCGTATCGGTCCGGAAAAATCGCTGATGGTAAGTTTTTTAAGACAAGTTTCATGTTTTTGGTGCAAAAGCAAGGTCAGCAAATCCTTTTTACAACGAGAGGAGGTGAAGTCATGATAATAATGATATTATCTATATTAATTTACACCGAACTTGGTGCACAGGTAGAGTAGCTCGGGACAAATTTAAAGAACAGCTTAGGAATCAACTGAATTGCTTAATTGTTATTTTTTTTTAAGTCCAAGCATGTGTCTGTTGCCTGTTATGAGTTACAAAACCTAGACCTGATCAACTTCTTCCATTGTGGAGAGAATTTGTGTGTTTCCCTTCACTTTATAAGTTTGTCAACTATTACTCGTTAACTTCTTAATTTTACTTAGCTGTGAGTTTTCTTTTTAAATTCATTCTATATACTACTATTGTCTATACTTTTCACATTTCTAAAAACAGCGGTTTAGTTTGTAGAGGAGGGGGCACCAGTGAAAAATACTACTTTAAAGCTAAATATTTCACAAACGGACCTCTGAATCAAAAAGATGATGTTCCACACACCCAGTGTTTTTGAAAGACCTATCCAACGATACCCACATGATGGAATAGACTTGTAAAAAAAATCATCCTTCATTTACTTGTATGGAAAATACCCAAAATAAAAATGTTTTTTTTAAGATTTTATTTCACAGTTTTCAAGGTGTGATTATATCTACAACTATGCCAAATTACAGATTTATAGCACCTAGAGTCCCTGAGCAAAATCGCAGATGGACGGATGGACAAGAGACATGGCGAAACTATAAGGTTTCCTAGTTGTATAACTACGAAACCCTAAAAAAGGCTGGATTAGAGCGAGTGCTATAGTATGCGCTTATGGACGCCACTGAAGTTCGTTGTCTGCCTGGGTGATAGAACCTCAATATATGTCTGCCGTATATAATACATATGTCAAATAAATAATATGTCATATTGTCGTATGGCAGACATATGTCTGCCAAACCACAATATGTTTTATGAATTTTAAATAGTGAATTAATTTTTAATTACAGCATTAGTTAAGATAGTACAGGAATTTTTGAAGTTGTATGCAGATCTCACAAATCAAATATTTCACTCATCATTCAACATATAACAATTTCTATAGTTTAAAATTTAGTTTCAAATGAGTTATCAATATGTTATCACATTAAAAACTGAATTGTTTTACAATAATTAATTTTAATGTATTATTTGTAAGAACTATTTTACTTTGAAACAATATATCTAGGGCACGAGTCATACTTTAAAGTAAACTTATATGCTATTCTCTGTATGCAGAGGGCCATCTGTTTTCTATAACACATTTCTATAACACATGTTACTATAAAATTTTAGTTAAAATTGGGTTTCAATTTTATTAAATATATGTTTATATGTATATATGTATTTTATGTTATAATGTTATTTATTTTAAAGATTCTTTGTTAGTTAATTAAATGTAGATACTTTCATATGAACATTTTCATGACTATAGTCCATCACAGTAAGTCCACATATGAACAAGGACTATGCTTTGTGACAATCTTTGAGCAATTGCCATAAATTATTAAATTAGGCTGTGTTGCAGGTGTTTATAGTCAGCGGTAGTCACTATCAGGTGAGCCATTTGCCCCCTCTTATATAAAAAAAAAACAAAGGAACACAATGTCCAAAGACACTGATTAAGTAAGGTAAGCAGTATCATTAGGAATATAATTAGGTCATCCAAGATATAAAATTATTTAACTCACCTTATCAATAGCTGTAGCACAACTGTAACGTGGTTTTCCAACCATTGAGAAATTATTTGGCTTTGAACCATTCCAATTAATATCAATAGATGAGTTGACTCCTCCAACTGCCAAAATCATTGTAGGTATACCTTGGGTGAAATCCCATATTTGATGTATAGTATCTTTCAGCCCTTCCGCCTTGACATAAATTAAGGTCGAGTTTAAACCACAGTCCTCACAACCAGGATTGAGTTTTGAAGTGATCTAGAAACAAATTAAATTTCAGTGTTTTCACAAAACCATGTAAAATTTTTAAGAATGTTATACAAGTTTTATTACACATTATTAATTACATCACATTATTTAGATAATACAAAAATAAAATAAGAGGAAATGTAACTTTAAAACATGTATTTTGTCAATTAAACACAAATAACGTATTTTAAAACTCATTTTTTAATAACATTTTCTTGCCCATTAATATTATCTACCCTCTCTGACGTTTCTATTGCAGTGTAAGTTATAATTATAATAATTTTCATCCATCAATCCATTACAGCCCATAAAATTCCACTGCTGAACATGGGCCTCCCATATAGATAGCCTCATTTAATGCTTACAAATATCAATTAGTTAAATTTAGAAGATATTCTCTTTTGAGACAAATCATTTGATCAGAGAAAACATTGAATTTCAATGATATTGTCACAAATGGTATATTTGTCGATAGTGGTTCCTTTTTTTTATTGTAATTAAAAACACATGCATAAGCTCATATTGTAAAAAAAACTCACCGTTCTATCTTGTCCATAAGCAGTAGTTTGCAATAAAAATACAATTAAAAGAATAACATTCACTTTTATCGTAAAAGGAAACATTTCCTCACAACACTTTCTGTCGATAAACAATAAAAAGAGTTCACAAGTCAATAAACATGACACAAATAACTGATAAAACGATAAACGAACAGCACGTGCGATGGAGACCAAGACAAAGACACTCTATTGATCAGAGGACATAGTTTCCCTGGATATTGATTTGATGTATCAATAAGAATTTGTGAATTTATTATAATTATTTGTATATGTAATCCCCCTACTATTCTACTAAAGAGTATGTACCTTTAATAATTAATAAAGTTTCATTTATACTATAATAAAGGGTGATATGTAAGTCTTTGTATGAAATCGAAATCTGAGAAATTTGCAATGCAAACAAACAATTATATGAAATTATTTTGTAGTTGTGTTGGTCTTGGTGTTTGGCGCATAAAGCGAGAAAAAGATATCGCTGTTTCTTTCCTTTACCATATTTTAGATTGCCATTTTAAAAATTAGATACTAGAATAATATATTATTATTGTCGTGTATCGGAGGAAACTAAAAAATGCTATGTATTTTTTTTTTGGTTTACACCTTATAGTAATTACATATATATCTGAGATTTGTAAAATTAATTGTTCTATTAATTGATTGAAATTAAATTATTAGAATTCTATCAAGAGAAGCCATGAATGAAAAAAATACATTTGTTTGTCAACTGTTTAATGTTGAAAAGATTTTCTCAATGAAGTAATTCATATTTATTACATACGTTTATATTTTATTACTTATTTATTATTGCATTCTGCTTTAATGCAGTTATTATCGGTTCAGAATACTGCATTTTAGTTTGTAGGTATTTCCTCGCGAAAGAGTATGTAAAGATTTTTTGTGAAATGTGACCCTATGAAATATTGACTATAAATTAATTCATTCTTTTTAAATAGTGTTAATGCGTTAGCTGAGTCAGGATGAAAATAAATCCATTATTGTCTGCACGTTCATTAGTTATAACGGGTGAGGCAAAAGTAATCATCTGATGTTCTGCTTTAATTTTTTTACAATCGAAAAACTTTTGTTCTGTTTGTGGATTATTTATGTTGAATTCATTAGATTTTTTTCCATCAAGTCAAGAAGATGATATCGCACAAGTGGCCGCCGCCAGTATTGATGACCATAAGGGCCCTTTTTATGGCAATTTCCATCACTTTTGCCAGAACTTCAGGCGATAGGCTCGCGCATTCGTGTCAGATGTTGTCCTTGAGGGCTTTCAGACTTTGAGGCTTGTTCACGTAAACACGACACTTCAAAAACCCCCACAAAAAGAAGTCTGGTACAGTCAAATCGGGAGATCTTGGCGGCCAGTGCAAATCGCCAAAACGAGAGATTAGGCGTCCCGGAAATGCCTGCCCCAAAATATAGGTTTTCGCTCGGGCAGTGTGCGCCGTTGCACCATCCTGTTGGAACCACATGCCCTCGAGTCCCAGCTCATCCAATTGATGAAGAAGAAACTCGTGGATCATTGCTCTGTAGCGGTCGCCGTTCACAGTAACCGTTAGGTCCGCGGCGTCCTCGAAAAAAAAATGGCCCGATGATTTCTCCAACGTAAACAGCGCACCATGCCGTGCCACCTTGAGCGGGTGTAATGGCTTTTCGTGGATCACACGCGGATTTTCGGTGCCCCAGAAGCGATAACTTTGGCAATTCACGTAGCCGCTGAGGTGGAAATGAGCCTCATCGCTCATGATGAGTTTCGATGAAAAATCATCATCTTCTTGGTCGAGATTCAGGATGGTTTGAGCGTAGTTTACGCGCGTTTGGCGGTCAACAGCTAACAGCTGATAAACTGACTGCACTTTGTCAGGGAACAACTTCAGATATTTCACCAAAATTCGTCGTAGAGTCCGCGTGGTAAGGCCCAATTGCGCTCGATGTTCCGGGGTCCATTTCGACATCTTTGACTACCGTGGGGATATTCTCAGCAGAATGGCTAGTCCGAGGCCAGTCACGCTGAAGAGCATCTCGTGTTGTCCTAGTCTTTTCAAGGCAACAAACGCAGCAGTGTTTATCATTATGATGTCGGACGGCTGGGAAATCTGCGACGAAATTCACACTGTGCCAATACCACAAATGAATTATTGCGCAAAAAAATGGAAACAATTATTCCGCGTTCTTGAGTAGTATAGCGATTCATGGCTTGTCGACATGTATTTTACATTTGTTTACTTCAAATATGTCAAAACCGATTTGACATTTTACGCCATTTGCAAGAATTATAGCGTTTTCCATTAGGGTGGTTACTTTTGCCTACTCGTTAATATACATTTTACTGTTATAGTGCTAGCACATGGACGAATTCAGTCCGCTCCAGACAAGGGATTTTGTTCGCTCCGTACAAAATCTATTCATATTGACAGTAGACTGCCGACAATAATTATTTTTTATTGGTGTTCGCGCGGTCTGATTGCTGATACGTCGAACTCGGTGCAATCCAAGCTGAATCCTCCCGTGTTTACTCGGACCGGATAAATACAAACCGCCATTCATCACGATCGAAACGTTGTGGAGGTTGGCCACGTGTGCGCGTATGACAAATACTATTAGGATACAGCTTAAGTCTGTTGATTTCTAAATGTTAGTAATTTCTAAGTAAGTAAGTTTCTAATTTCTAAACTAACCTAAATAACCATAATTGAGTATTTTAATGATATAAACATATATTAACTGTAATAATAAAATATTTTGGAAAATCCAAAAGGGCACGCTTCATGAGCGTTTCATTTAGTTTTGATGAAAAAAATAAATTATCAAAATAAATCGATTACATAAAGTAGAAAATCGATTTAAGCTGTATAGTACATTTTGTTCTTTGTCTATTAAGGGCTAAAGAAAAAAATGAAAGCGCCTTTAAAATTTTAATAGCAATAAAATTTATAAAACTTGAAAATCATTTTATTGACAAACGATTTGTACTACGTGGCTATTGACATTAAATAGGAAACCAATTGATGTAATTCTGTAATTACAAAAACCCAGTCTCAAAACGTCAACTTTTTCGGGAGTTATCGTGACTACATACAAAAACAACATCCGGACGTCCACTTAAATTTTTTCAAACCGAATCAAGTAAAAAATATCAAAGGAGCAATATAAAAATTATTCTATCTACAATATTAAAAACTACGATAATAAAAAAAAAAAACTAAAACTAGAAACTTAATTATCATATAGTCCTACTCCCCGCGGTATCGTGCCAAGAACGCTGGCTGCGTTTCCCCGCTGAATGGCTATACTTAGCCTTTGAGCGAGGAAAGAACCAGCCCTCTTATCACCAGCAGCAACGACCAGCCGCGGATGGAGTTCCTTTAGGAACTTCACCGCACGTGGATTAATTTAAATAAATTTTTATTAATTAATTAATTTTATTCAATATAAAATGATTTTTTAGAAAATATAAGATGGATTAATAAGTTTTTTCTTGATATACGGCTACTTATATTTATCGTATAAGTGCAATGTGGTAATGATAGAGGCATTTTAAGACCACAAAATTGCTTGACCTGGACATGTCGAAAGTAATACACGCCTAAAAACGCTTCGCGTTATGAGTCGTGCAATAAGTAGTTAAGATTGAAATATGTAATAAATTGATAAATTACATAACATTCATAAACACAATATCATAACTTCGAGTATATTTTAAAATACTAAGAATACTAAGATTAAAACAATTAACATACGAGAACAACACTGAAAGTTATTAGAACTGGACACACACACTTATAATACAAAAATAAGTTCAAATTTTGAAAATGGAATTCTGCCAATATTAATGTTGTGTATTTTATTAATTTGGCGGCAAATTGAAAATTGTCTGTGTCACGTCAGCATGAATTTAACGCAAGAAAATTTTCCTACAATGATATTTTATGACTTTCGATGTCATAAAAAATCATACAACAAGAAAGTTATGATAGGCCTTTCACGATGAAACTCCATCTCGTACCACTGTTTACAACTGGTGATGAGTTTAAACGTGGTCGCACTAATCTCACCGATGATCTGCATGAGGGACGGCCTTCTTCGGCGACGACTGAAGATAACATCAGTGTGGTGTGGCATATGATAGAGACTGACAAAAGAGCGACTTATCAGCAGATTCGGACAAGCTTAGACATCGGTATGAGTCAAGTGCACAAAATCCTCCATGAACATTTTTCGGTCATGAAGCTTTGTGCCCGGTAGATACCTCATAATTTGACAGAGGCCCAAAAGATATTTTATTATTACCGCCGAGACTCCCGGTAAGACCTTCTTCTCACTGCGGCCAAGACACCTTAACCCCATCACCTAACTCTGACATCCTATCTCTGTCCGTCTGCTACCTTAGGTCTCATGGTGCAGACATCCCGTACTTATTTAATGTATGTATGTATATTTATATGGTAGGGCTAGGGAATTAGGGACTGCTAGGTATAGGAAACTTAGGATCTGTGGGATCTAATAATCCTTATTACCATAATCATATACAGCCAGGTAGTCGAACTATTGAAGGGTAATTAAGTTAATATTTAAACAAGCAACTACCTAGCTGTACACAAGCGAAACTTCTGATCATGTGTTCCCGGGTTCTCGGGATTGTGTATCTAAGTTTGTTTTATGTTTAATGTCATTGCTGCTGTACCCAACAGAGATCTATGTCCAACAGTGGAAAACTGTTATATATACGAGAGAGAAAAAATATTAAGTTTAAATCATATTTTACATATATTGAAGGTGTGACGTCCGAACATAGCTGTGCACTCAAGGTCCACAGCCAGGTGAAGCCATCCATTGCGAACAGCGGACCCGGTCCGTCACATCAAGTAGCCATACGCAGTCGTACAATAAAACTAGTAGCAGCCACACTGCTCTCTAAACTAAATCTAGTTGCGCGGTTTAACCGACGTCCTACACAAATGCCGAATTGTTCAGTTTTTTGCTGTAAAAAGAGATCTACCTCGTCAAATTTACAATAGATGGCGTTACCTTTCATATACATATACAGACTAATATGATGCTTACGCACTATGCTTACGCATTATACATACGTAGGACACTCAATAATTTTATAAGATATACAAAAAGCATTCTAGATACTATTAATATTTATTTTACATTTTTTCAAAATGTTCTCCATCATGCTATGTACAAAGTTACATTCGCCTAAGCCAGTGGTCGGCAAACTTGTTAGCCAAAGAGCCAAATATGAACATTACAACAATTTAAAAAAAATTGGGAGCCAAATCAGCTTGTTTGATAAACTCTTATTACACTAAATTAGTAGTACACTAAATTAATGCGAACAATGTGCTTGCATCTCCTTGGAAAGTTTGAGTAAGTTAGGTTCATATGTTGTTTTTTTTTTAATTTTAGGCATGATTCCAAGTTCTCATCAATAAGACTACTTCTCAGTTAACTCTTGATAATGTTCATGCTTGAAAAAGATTGTTCACATAATATACATCTAGAATCGAAAAGGAAAAAAACAGCAAACGTGTGCTTCTTCAGCTGATCGTAAGAGTCAGGCATATTATTCCAAGCGTTGAAAATGATCAAGTCTTCCTTCTCCAGGTCATACAAAGCAGATCACTTGTGTTGTGAACTAAGATCACATTTTTTCTTCTAGAATATTTCCAATTCAACACAAAGACGTTCGTATTTAGAGCGCCATATCTCGTTGTTTTTTTAAATCCAGCAATTGTATTTCAAAGCAACCAATGTCAATTTCAACTCGGTTATCGTAGCATTACGAGGATTTTTAACAAATGCTAAAAAGTTGCTCTGCTGTTTTTAAATTCCTGAAACCTGCTGAGAAATGCTTCCCTCTTATTTAAAATTATTGTTTTAATATCGTGTTTATCAATAGAGGAATTATTTTCTTGACGATGCTTCAGCAGGCTCGGAAAATGAAGCAATGTTTCCCTTTCAAAATCCTGAGCAAAAATGGATTATTTGTTTTCGAATGTTATTAGGTACTTCTTCCAACGTCGATTATTGTACGAAAATTTTCTCGCGTTAAATTCATGCTAACGTGACACAGACAATTTTCAATTTGCCGCCAAATAGTTAACAAATGACAAATTAATAAAATACATACATAATAATATTGGCAGAGTTCCATTTTCAAAATTTGAACAATTTTTTTATTATATCGTTTACAAGTGGCCAGTTCTAAAAACTTACAGTATCGCCCTCGTAGTATGCCCCGGCGGTGCGCGTGCATTGTCGCAGCGCACCTCCTGTCAGGGTCGCCATGTAATGTCGGAAGGTGCTGAATGAAGGAAACCACTACTACACCTTATCAGTTCGCGTTTTCGTAGCCAGCTCTTAGACCATTGATGATACTAAGTCTTTAATTATACTGCTCTCTTATTCTACACTTAATACTAATATCACAATATATAATGGCGGGGGTGAAGGGGAGGCTACAGGGCACTATATTGCGCGCCCAAAATTGGAATTAATCGTGTGCCGCCATCTTACTGTTTATGGCAAGTGTCTAAACAGTGGTAGGTGTCGTGTTTTTATTCGTTTTTGCAGTAATTAATCGTTATCATTATGCCGAAAGTGATTAAAAGTGCTGGCAGGGATGTTATTTTGAAGGTAAAACGTGCTTGTGAAGAAGAACAAGACAATAACTGGCCTATAGTACCGTTTTCCAAAGTTAGAGCCCGCGTTGCATATTTAACTGGTAATTTTTAGG